GGTAGCGGCAGCAGCTTTCGGCGCGTGAAAAGAATTATCCTGGCGGATGCAAAGGGAGTAACGCGGGGGAGATGATGGATTTCTTCCGGGGCCTTCTGGTAAGTGCCGTGCCGGCTCGAGGGAGCGCCGGGGAGAGCGCGGAGAGGGGGCTGCGGCGAGCCCCGCTGTGCGCTCGATCCTTAGCTGCTCTGTCCTAGCGCGCCGTTTTCCTTCTGGGAAACCTCCAAGGCGGGCGTTTATTGACTGCGTTTCTTCTGCACTGAGTCACTCCTGACGCACAGGTACCTGCTCACTGAAACTCTCCTGGTGGCTGTTAAGGAAGTGGAGCAGCCCCGCACTGCAGCTGGCGTGCCTTGGGGCAGGTTCTGGTCTGATGCTGAAGGCGAGGAATACATGCACTTTCCTGTGCTGGGCATAAGGGTGTAGCTCTGCACCCCTTCCCTTCTCCACGCCGCAGCTCGCTTCGCTGTGAGGCAGCGTGGACGCGTGAGCAAGGAAGGAATAGCAACCATGCCGTTTTTAGGTTGAGTATTTTGTATTTGGGAGCTCATTAGTACAAGCTACTGGACAAGTTTGTCTAGCCTGAGGTGTCCAGGGAAATGACTTTCCACTGTAGTGTGTTGCCTTTGGTTGGAATTAAGAAGCAGATGCAGTGACTTTAGTCTGAAGCAGATAACCTGAGTGACTCAGGAGCGGGCTAAGGACAAACTTTCCGTGTTGGCTAAACCGACAGCAGGTGACGTTACTTCCTACCAAGCATCACAGAGCTATAATTGTCTTTGCTATAATCACCAAAACATTTGTTGCCCAATAAAACTTGGCTTTAAGTATGCAGAAATTCCTGATGGATAAAGGACTGCTGTCTGCCTTGTTTAATATGTACGCACACATCTGCTGGAACATAGTTTAAAAGGTGGATCGGATCCTGCCGTGTGGTTTTGTCTGCCTGGTTCTGGCAGCTGGCAGAACAGGACCAGAAAACTATTTTAATTGCCTCAAAGAGCATTTCTCCACTATTTGCAGAGACCGAAAGACAAACCGGATTCTAAAACCAGCTTAAAATAAGGAAGAGACTTTCTGAAGTGCTCCCAGCTTTGGGCACAGCTCTTGAACCCTGGTTCCTTTTGCCTCCCGTAGGCACGGTAGGTTGAAGAGGTGCATAGATGAGGACAGAAATACGGCCAAGACTGCTTCTGCGTTATGCCAGTCCTTGGAGGTGTTGACGGCGTCTTTCTGCCCTCACAGCTGGTGCAAATTAGAACAGGGACTGGGTTGCTGCTGCAGTAAAGCTAACCTCTGCTTGCTGCCTTCGCTTGCTAGGAAATGCAAGGTTTTCCTTTGGTCTTTTTTTTCTCTTCGTCTCCTCCCCTGTCTCTGTCAGTCTGAAAGCTTACCGAAGATGAACCCCCGTGTCCTCCTCTCGGACACGGTCCCTCGGCCCCTCCTCTGCCTCCTCCCTGTTCTGCAGACCCCTTCCCACGTCCGAGCTGCCG